TATATATATTCGATAGAGAGTGAACAATAATTATTTCAAATATGTGTAAATTAATACTCGTCCAATTTTCCGATTGTTCACGATATTAATAATTGTTTCTACGAAAATCATGTTAATATCATCTAACTGTGCTTTGAATAATATCGAATAACAATTCGAAATAAAATCGAAAGATAAGAAAAAATAATCAAATAATATATATATCATACGTTACTATTAAATTGTTTAATTTAGTTTAATTTATGTAAAAGTAACTGGATATCCGTGTGTGGGGGAAAAAAATTATATTAACAAAATTTGAATATTTCATTTGAATTTCGTGGTGTTGTGTTTAGTCGAAAATAATTTCAAAATATTAAGAAAAATATTAATTATTCGCGTATTACCAACGTAAAAAAAGAACAAAAAAAGAAAAGAACGAGAGATTTTCCTAACAAACAAAAATCTCATTTAAGTTCTTGGTGTGTCGTGATACTAGACGATATTAACTTCAACCACTCCCCGTTCCTACTTGAAAAAATAGATTGTACAGTGTCCTATCACGTTGAAGCGTTTTCGATCCGACGAATGACCCCGCCCCCCTCCTCCTTCCCCCTCGTTTTTCGTTAGTAGGAAGAACATGAGGACACGTCTTGGTACGGGGGAAAGTCTCTTCGATTCTAAAACGAGAAAAGGAAAAGAAAAAAAAAAGAAAAGGTAAGAAATGGCGGAGGGGGCAGGGGGAGGGTGATAGAAAGAAGAAGAAGAAGGAGGAGGAGGAGGAGGAGGTGAAGGAGAAAAAAAATTGGTAGGTAGATAAGACGAAAGAGTAAGTAAGTAAGAAAGGGGTGGAGGAGACAGGGGGAGGGAAAGGGAGAGATAGAAGGAAGGAAGGAAGGAAAAGGGTGGTTCTACTACTGGTAAGGTTTAGAGAACCTGTCGATACCGTGACGTGACGCCGAACCTTTTTTCCCAGCCACTCCATTAACATCTCATTATGAACACTCCAGTACCCCCACCAACCCTTGCCTTCGTCGTTGTCGTTGTCGTTGTCATGGTGGTGGTGGTGGTGGTGGTGGTGGTGATACGCTTACACGAAATATCTTAAGTTCGAACTTCCATTAAAATATCTGCCGAGTTTCGCGCGTTTTCATGCCACCATGAGAAAGAGAGAAGATTCTATATATATGTATATATTATAATATAGGGTTTTTCCTTTTTTTTTTTCAATCATTTTTCTTTTTATTCATCCTCTACTTCGTCTCTTCGTCTTTTTTTTTACTTTATTTTATTTTATTTTATTTTATAATAATTCTTCTTCTTGTCTATTTTTTTCTTTTGTTTTTTTTCGAGTCTCATTTTCTTCTATCATACGTATATGTGTGTACATTTGTAGTTCACGTGTATTATACTTATACGTTTTTATATAAAAATGGATTGTTATTATTAAACACGTTAGCATGAGATGTTATCAAGGCCCCTCCTTTTTTTCTTCCTTTTATTCTCACTTCCCATTAGAACTCCCCCATAGGACTAAACGAACATTCGAATAGAAACGATTTACGTTTAATTACTTAGATGTTATCAAACCATTGCTTTTACTTTTATATTTATCTTGAAAATATAGAAAATTCTTGCCGTAAAAAAAACCCATAATGTGACTTGGCAGAAAAATTGATCGTACATCAGTTTTTACGTGACAATTACTGGAAGAACAACAATATTTACATGGAAAAGGGATAAAAATGAAACGAAACGAAACGAAATAATCAGGAAGGGAAATAATAAGGAAAAACTGGTTAGGAGGTTTAGTTAAAGAGATGAATTCTTGAAAATGATTCGATCGGTAACACACTCTGTCCGTGACAAGTTGAGTAAACGATCGTTTATCAGATTGTCATAGAGATTGGGTATATCGTAATGAGGATTAATTAATATACTCCTGGATCGGCCGTATAATGATGGATGAGCTTACCAACCACGCCTACTTTTCCCTAGTCGATTTCACTTGCAAAGTGTGATAATATGCGATATATATATATATATTTTTTAAACACATATAAGAAAGAATAATATTATAGTACAAATCACAAAAGAAATGTCTTTTATATCATCGTTTTATCATTTTCACGATTTGTCATTCTTCTTTCTTCCTCATTAGATATGTTTCGACTAAAGATTGATGTACTATCACGTCACGCGATAGTTTCATTATATCATAAACCCATAAGCAATTAACTTGTTTGACGTTGTTATCACGTAACGATAACCATTCGTGATACGTTTCACTATGTAATATCAGTTTAAATATTGCGATCAGACAAACAAAATAATATCCGCCTTGACAGAATTTGTTGCAAAATAAATAAATTATAGAAGAATATTGACGTTTTTAAAAAAAAAAAAATCCTGCAATATGCATTCCTTGATTTAACGATTATGACATAAATACATTACACATTATCGTATTGTAATCATTAATTATTTATGTGTTTTGTTTTATATTGCATGGTAACGTAAGAAATATATATTCTACGAGGATTTAAATTTTATTATAAAGTATATATATATGATGGTATATGTGGGGAACGTGTTAAATAATCAAATATAAATTATAATAGATTATTATATTCATTTAATTTTATCAATAATAATCATGTTCTATATTTATTATTATGTTCTTCATTTAACATGTTCAGTATCAAAGGCTGCCAGAGAGAGGGGGAGGGGTTGTTCTAGTTTGTATTCTAATCATTTTAATTTAATCACAGATACTCGTTTCGTGAAGTCACGGGTTTTAGTTTTGATTGGCTTGAGACAAATATACAAAGAGCGAGTAAAGTTGGATGAATCAGGTGAAAAAGAAATTGGGAAATTTCAGTTTTATCGATGAATTAATATATAAACGAGATTATTTAAATTAATAAACTTACGTATATTTCACACGGTCCAAAAAAAATACACACACTCTGTGGTGTTATATTTGAATTAAATTTATTATTGGAGATAGAATTATTATTAAAAAAGTGTATAAACGCGACGTTTATTTTTCGTATAGTATCTTACAAGCGTAGATAGTAATGTTCCCTGTCGTCGAAGATTACTGAAACAATTTCGCTGTTCAGAATAACACGGGGATATATGTATATAATAATATAATCATCGTATGTAACATATATCTACATGATAAAATTTCCCGGTTATTTTCGCACTATGACACTCAGGAAACGGAAATGAATGTGCAACGAGATAATCAAAGAGATGGAGGAGACTCCTATTAACCAATCGTTATACCATAATAATAAATTCTCAAAGAATAACCCACGTTGAGACGACACGATTGAAACAAATTATCTAATCAAAAAATACCAAAATAAATAAACTCCAACGATACTTTATATCTTACGTTTTATATTATTTAAAAAAGAAATATATAAATATAAAATAAAAAAGAAGAGCAAGGACAGATGTTAGCAAACTTTTCATTTGGTCACACAGTAGTACATACGTTTCTTAAAGTTATTTATTTTTGAACAATCTTCTTTGGTTGAAGCGTCACACCAAAGAACATTTATAAATTGCTAGATAAATGTTTGAATGTTAAACTCAGTAATCAATCAGTAATATTAGAATTAATTAACAATGGAAAAAATAAAATTGGAAAATGTAAAAACCATTGTAACAGAGTACATACGTAATACCTATGCTGCACACTATACACAAACGTGTGATAGAAGTAGATAGAAGTAGAGAGTGAGAGAGAGAGAGAAAATGAAGAAGAAGAAGAAGGAGGGAGGGGTATAAAAGAGGTAGATGAAAGAGGGTGGAAAGAGGGGTTGAGGATTCGAGCTTATCGCGAGCGTTTAAGCAAACACCGCTTATATCCGCGCCGAGCTTAATTGCGTTGACAAATCCTTCTAGGAGGAAGAGGAGGAGGTAGGGTGAGGTTATGGGGAAGTGGGGAGGGTTGGTTGGTAGTAATGTCGCGGAATTCTCCGATCGTACACAGAGATTGGTTCTGGCTTTGGTCGTGCAAGTATAGCTTTTGAATACCGAGCAAGCACAGTTAATATACCATCGTAACCATCAACCACCACTACCACTAGCACTACCACTACCAGCAACACCACTAACCAATACACAAACTGTAATACCCCCTGTAACTACCATCGACAACTACCGACAAAACCGAGAAGGAAACTTTTGATTCTCACCGAAAAGATAAAGGAAAAGGGAAAAGGGGAAAATAGAAAGACTGGAATTGCATCAATTTCAACTAGGTAAACGTAGTAGTTTCTAACAGTAGTACAGAGAATAGAAACAAATATCCGAAGGTAGGTTATATTTAATAGACTGCTACTATACTGTATATAACTGTAAAATCGTTTTAGAAGGTATGCATAAGTGTATGCGTGTGGGTGGGTGTGTGTTTATGTATATGTGTATATGAAGATATCTGGAAACACGTAAATAGTTAGCATTTATTTTCTACCTCAGACAATATTTCTCTATGTATATATCTATGTTGTTATTTTATTTTCCCTCTATTTTCATGTGTTTTTCAAACCGATCCTTCCTTATTATTAATATTATTATTATAAGAATTATTTATTATTAGTATTTTTCATTTTAAAGAATCATTATTAGAGAATAATCTTTAATAAAAAGAATAAAATTCATGATAAACATTAGGTAAAAAAGATGAAAAATCTAACGATTCCCATCGTTGGTATTCTCGAGCTTTAATAACGAGGACTACTACTTTGCTAAGTATCAAGATGAGAAATGAAAGAGAAAGAGTGACAAAGATAGAGTGAGTGTGTGAGAGAGAGAGAGGGAGAGGGAGGAAGAGAGTATAAGAATAAGAGTATGAGAGAAAAGGAAAGAGAGAGGAGAAGCTTAGGAAAAGTCGTCAAACTGCAACCACGTTCTTCGTGTATGTCGCGAACGAAAAGTTTTGCCTTTGAATTCGTAGACTCGATTTCGCGTAAATGCGACGTCGACAGAAGCCATCGTCTTTGAGAAAGAGTGAGTAAGAGAAAGAAAAAGAGAGAGAGAGAGAGAGAGAGAGAGAGAGAGAGAGAGAGAGAGTATTGTCTCCTTTCCTTTGCAGAAGAAACTTCTTCGAGAAATCGAAGCAGGATTTTAGGATTCGAACTTATCATCCGATCTTTCCCAACGTTAACACGTTTCAATCTGATATCTTCTTTCGTTTTATACTTTAGACTACTTACTACTACTACTACTACTACTACTACTACTACTACTACTACCACTATATTGCTACTACTGTTTTTATTTCTTATTCTTATATATATATATATATGAGTGTCTAAGGGTTTGATTTGTAACATACGTTGCAAGTTTATTCTAAATACCAAAATATAATATAAATATATTTATAAAATCAAAAAAACAAAATACTTTACGTAAGCGTAAATTTCTTTTGATTTGAAATATTATTCTCGAGTGTTTAATCAAATAAATTGGATTAATATTTATATATAAATAAAGCAAACCCTGTGTGTATGTGTGTATTATATCATTAAAAATTTGTTTAACGTAAAAAAAAGAAAATAATTCGAAGAACGAATTTTATTTCTTTATTCTTAATACACGATTTTAAAATGATTCGAGATGATAATTTATTTTACGTAGAATTTTTGTTGGAAAAGTTATATATATATATGGCGTATAATGTGAAAAATTTATTTTCTTCGTTTCTATATTAAATTTTTTATACACAGGGCGGAGTCGGGAAAAATGTTACAAATTCAATAGACCAATAAAAAAAAAAAGAAGAAATAGCAATACTCAAATATTGCAATACGATTTTTATTTGTTTTTTCAGTTATAACGTCATAACAAAATTTCTCATATACACACATGAACACATACACACACACACGTTGTTCTAATCAATGCGTTTTTATTTTTCTTTTTCTCTTTTTTTTTCTGAATAAAAGTTCACAAATATTTCCATTTACTTTTAAACATTTATCGTATCGTCTACGAAGGAAAATAAATCTCGTTACTCTATTCGGATTGATTTGTGCTTTTTAAAAAAAAAAAGAGAAAAAAAAGGACAGTAAACGTCGAGAGATAAAAATAAAAATCGTATAGAACATTTGACTACCTTTTAAACATTATTATTTTTACATGTATATATAATACAATAACGGGGAAAATTCAAAGGGCTTTTTCTCCCGACTCACCCTGTGTATAACGAATAAATAAAAAAAACCCTTCAGTTTTGACATAACGTAGTATTACTGAAAGTATAAACTTAATATTAATTAACATAATTTTCACTTCTCTTGAACGATTTCATTACAGATTTATTCTCCGACGTGTTTTCTTGATATTTTAGAAAATAAAAAAAAAAAACTTTTCAAGAATAAATTTACGTTTGATTTATGAAACGAATAATTTATATTCAATGAATTTCTATATATTGGACAAAAACGTTTAGATAGAAATAACATTTAACATTAATTTAACATCGTAATTTTACTCTTCCAATTAAGCAATTAGATCAAAGTAACGTTCTAATTCTTTAAACTGTCCAATTTCCTTGTTACACACATTTATTCTATTAAACATTTCTAACACAAATTCGCATTCAAAAGTATAAGTACGTGTAATCCATTTTATTCATAATAAATATCATACTCGAACGAATCTCAAAACGTTTCTTATTCATTTTCATTTATGAAAAGAAAAGAAAAGAGATTTTTGGGGGCAGGGTAGGGATGAGTTCTGAGGTTGGGGGGAGGTTACTTCTAAATAGAACAAAACTGTAAAAATACTTTAGAGAAACTGTAGGGAACATTAAATTACACACTCGGCGTTTAACATCCTTTGAATACTAATGTACTACCTACAGTGTTACCTAGCCGTACACGGTAATTTGTTTTACCTCTTCGACTCCCCATATCCCTCCTCCTCCCCCTATCCCCTCGTCTACCGACCCCTTCACTTCATTTTCCCGTAACCCCATGTACCCATCCACCCCCCCCGCCGCCCACTCATTTCGAAAGATATATCTAGCGTAACGTATTCCAATATATGCGATACAAACTATTGTAAATTTAACTGAATATGCGATGGGGTGGGTATATAGTATAGGTAATGTGCACGTAAAGGATGTCATAAGGAAGAAAGAGGAGAACTGTTCGTTGGGAATAACGATAACGCAAAACAATGATTCTCGTGTTATGAGAAAGAGAAATATTAAATGGAAAGAGAAATGGGGAAGGAAAGAAAGAAAGGGAAAGGATATTATAATTCGCGTTCTAACGTTAAATATAATAAATAATATCTATAGCACGCGTGTAGTAGTATATGGCACGTAATTTTATCGACTCGAGTAGTTTGGTAATGGTCCATAAAGATACGAAAATAAGATAGAAAAGGAAAAGGATAAGGAAAGGAAAGGAAAGGAAAGGAAAGGAAAGAATAGATAGATAGATAGATAGATGAAATAAAAGTTAGTTCAGTGGTGGTCCAGTAGAGAAAAAAAAAGAAAGAAAGAGAGAGAAGATTTATAAATAAGCAAAAGGCGAATTGAGATGAGGTATACATATATATAAAAAAATAATAATAATAAAAAAAAATGTCTCTCCCCCTCGTTATTTGCGTTATTCGATCGTTTCTTCCACACCACCCATCCCTGTTCATCCATCGTTCATTCACCACCACCACCACCCCTGCTCTTCCCTTTTTACTCTTCTTCATCTTTTATATTTTTTTTTTTTTTTTCATTTTCTTCTACTTCTTTTTCTTTTTTATTTTTCTATTCGTTGCGAAAAGCTACGAAAGAAGAGACTACTCTTACTACTACTACTATTCTGTGTGCATCCCCCGGAATCGTTAAGGCAAGTTTCTCCTAGCACAAAAGAACAGTTTCGTGGTGTAAAATGTGATATATTTTCTTTCCCTCTCTCTCTTGCTATTTCCATTTTTATATACACACACATATATATATATATATATATATATTTTATTCTTTCTTCCATTCTACGGAAACTGCCGGACTGTCAATAATAAAAGTGAGTTTTACCGTGTCTGTAGAGAAAGAGAAAGAGAGAGAGAGAGAGAGAAAGGTACTGCACCGTAGA